GAGCAGCCAGTGCTCTTATCCACTGAGCCATCTCTCCAGCCACCCCCACCTTTAGTTTGTGGAGGTTTTTGTTTGTTTTGTCTTCCAGACTGTCCTCCAAGTGTAGCTGAGGCTGGTCTTCAACTCTTAATCCTCCTGCCTTCACCTTGTAAGTGCTGGGATTACAGGCATGTGATGAGCCCGGTTCTCTTCCATATAAATGTTTCATGAAGTGTTATTGTTTGAGACAACAAAGAAAGTCATAAAGGCAATGTGTGTGTGTGTATTGCCTTGATTGATATATATATCAATCAGGGAGGCAGGTACAACAGGCTTGGGGGAGCATTCCTCCTTTCTTTTTTTTTTTTTTTTTTTTTTTGGATTTTTTTTTTTTGAGATAGGGTTTCTCTGTAACAGCCCTAGCTGTCCTGGAACTCAATTTGTAGATCAGGCTGGCCTGAAACTCAGAAATCCACCTGTCTCTGCCTCCAGAGTGCTGGGATTAAAGGCAAGTACCACCACTGCCCACTGCTAGGGAATGTTTCTATAGGTCCAAGATACTATCTGATGACAAGATACTATCTTAGCTCTTAGCTTTGGGGTTGGTGGGAGGCTGAGTCTAGTGGAATGCTAAATTAATAGATTCTAAAAGGTTCTTATCTATTAGACAAAGGGGTAGTCAAGGAATGGTGTTCTGGAAGGCTATAACTAGCCCAAGATAAGGTCATTAGCCTCCAGACCTGCAGCATTCCAGTCTTCCCCAGCCCTGCAGCTCTTAATTGGCCATCCAGACTCTACAGACCTGGCTTTGCAGGGGCTCCACGTGCAGAAAAGTGGCCTAGGCTTTTTCGTTTTGTTTCTGTTGATCTCTTCAGCTATATCATTATCTTTTCATGTTTAGTAACATTTTGTATTTTTCTACAAATTTTAACTGCAACTTAACTATAGAAGCTGGAAATAGACAATTTCTGTTTGCAACCCAAGAGGTTTGTTTATGTTAAACAGGAAGTCTAAAAGTTACAGGCTGACTTTGCTATGCTGGAGATCTGAACAGAGAGCCTTGCAGATTCCAGGGGTGGGTGGGTGGGTGGGTGTGTGTGTGTGTGTGTGTGTGTGTGTGTGTGTGTGTGTGTGTGTGTGTGTGTGTGCGTGCGCGCGCGCGCATGTTCTATTACTGGGCTATAACACCAGACCCCCTTTACATTCTTTTTTCTTTGGAGAGGGCAATTTGAGACAGGGATTCTCTGTGTAGTCCTGGCTGTCCTGGAACTCACTCTGTAGACCAGGGTGGTCTTGAATTCGAGATCCTCCTGCCTGCTGGGATTATAGGGACACACTACCTCCCTGGGTGCTTAAAAAACTAAAGCTTTCGTGGGGGCAGGGTGTATTTCAACCAGCTCTACAGACTAGGATGACCTCAAACTCAGATCCATCCACCTGCCTCTACCTCCCGAGTGCTGAGATCAACAGCACATACTGACACCATCTGCCTGCTTACAACTTTTAAATGTAGCTTTGGTTTTGTTTGTTTGTTTTTTGAGAGAGCATTTCTCACCACAGCTAAAATGCTTTCATTAAAGACAAAAAGCCAGGGGACTGGAGAGATGTCTCAGTGGTTAAGAGCACTAACTGCTCTTGCAGAGGACCCAGGTTCAATTCCCAGCACCCACATGGTAGCTCACGCCTGTCAGTAACTCCAAGATCTGACACCCCCACACAAACATACATGCAGGCAAAATACCAATGATTTATTGCAGCGCTGCAGTGACCCAGGACCACTGCCTTAGATACTGTGAAGCTACACCCAAATCTGATGATTTTCTTCTTGGCAACACGGTACTATTTACCACACCTTGCCCCACATGATCTTGATATAAACTTGCTTGATGCCAATGGGCTTGATTGATTTGCTAGTATTTGCTTTAAAGTTGATTTGTTGTTGTTGTATCAGGCTGGGCCTGAAATTCAGTAGTAGCCAAGCACTTGCTTAGCGTGCACAAGGCCTTGTGCTCTAGCACCTGACCCCCAAGGAACTGCATCTGTCCATTTATTTATGTGATGAGTATTTGTTCATTTATTCATTCATTTGGTTTTTTGGGACAGGGTTTCTCTGTAGCTTTGGAACCTGTCCTGGAATTCCCTCTATAGGCCAGGCTGGCCTTGAACTCACAGACAGAGATCCACCTGTCTGCCTTCTGAGTACTGGGATGAAAGGTGTGGGCCACCCCCTCCCAACTCTATTCTTTTTTTTTTTTTTTTTTTTTTTAATCTAACCTTCATATTGTCTAGCCTCCTATTGTTACTGAAGTATTTCCTTTTTGATCTTCTCTGGAATTCTGGGGTTTGGATATAACTAAGAAAACTTTTTTTTTAAGGTCAGAGTTAGTAGCATAGGCCTGTCTCTATTCCCAGCATTCGGGAGGAGGCAGGTAAAGGACCAATGCAGGCTTGGTTCTGGCAATTTCTAGACCAAAGTAAAACAAAACAAAACAAATTTGCTCATTTTGCATGTTAATTATGAAGATGCAGTCTCTGCTTTGACGTTGTTCCTTTGGTTGTTGGTTCTTGAGACAAGGTCTTGAGGTGTATCCCTGGATGTAGACCGGGCTAGCCTCAGCTAAACATCCTCCTGCTTCACTTTACATGTTCTGTGTCTTAAATGTGTTTAATAATTACATTTTGTCTATTTGTGTGTGTCCATGTGTGCATGTATGTCAAGGCAGGAGTAAGTTCTCTCCCACCATACAGATCCTGGGTGAACTCATGTTGCGCCTTCTATATCTTATGTATATATATTTGTTTGCTTCTGGTTTTTTTTTTTTTTTCTGTGCATTGGTGTGAAGGTGTCAGATCCCCTGGGACTAGAGTTACAGACAGTTGTAAGCTGCCATGTGGGTGCTGAGAATTGAACCCAGGTCCTCTGGAAGAGGAGCCAGTGCTCTTAACCACTGAGCCATCTTTCCAGTCCCATTGTTTCTGTTTTGGTTTGTTTTTTGTTTGTTTGTTGTTGTTTTTGAGATAGTCATTCTGTAATCCCCGGCTAGTCTATTGGAGCAATCATCTTGCTTCAGCCTCCCTAGTGCTGGGGTTACTGTCCTGAGCCTCCCTGCCTGATCTAAATGGAATTGGGGTGAGGTGTCAGTGCATACATAGAACCCAGGGCCTTTGCAGGGTGGGCAAAGCCCCCTTGACTAAAACCCCATCTGCCTTTGTTTCTTTGTGTATAGCATAGGAAGTGATATTGGCTCATAGACTCATTTGTTTTGCTCCTGGATTGTGATAAGAACACGAAAGTATGAATAACTGCAAAGAATCTTAATGCTTTAAAACTTTTTCTCAAGGACTAGGGATTCAGCTCAGCATGGAATCCTCACCCACAGTGCAAAAGATCCTAGTTTACGCAAAAATAAAACTCCAAACATTGAACCAGGTGGTGGTGGCACATAATCCTAGTATTTCAGAGGCAGAGGCAGGCAGATCTCTGTAAGTTCGAGGCCAGCCTGGTCTATCAGGTGAGTTCTAGGACAGCCAGGGCTAAACAGAGAAATCCTGTCTCCAAAAAAACAAATAAAGAAAAGGAAAGAAAAATCTAGGCATTGTATGTACTGCGGGTGTGGGCCTCTGGGAGATCAAGGCAGAAGGTAAGGGTCAGAGGTTAAAGGTCAGCCTCAACTATGTAGCAAGTTTCAGGCTGGCTGAATGAGAACCCGATCTCAAACAATTTTCTCAAACAATGTTTTGTTGTCATTGTTGCTGCTTTCACAAAGAAAGGTCCCACACACCTGTGATCCCAGCATTCCAGGGGCAGGAGGAGGAACTTGGGGCTTCCAGGTCAGCCCAGCATACTCAAGGAGACCCTTGACCCAGGAGCCCTGGCCAAGTTGTTCTCTGATTATTTTTGGTTTCGTGGTAGGCATCATCTTTGCAAGAACTATTTCCATTTGGCCCTGAGTGTTTCCCACAAGCCTATGCTGCCAGCTTGGCTGACAGCCCAGTGTGCCGGAGCTAGTGGCAGGCACCTTTAGGAGACAAGGGCTACTTAAGGGAAGAAAGCAAGAGAGACTGAGATCCTGGTGTCTTCCACCTTGTGACTGAGTGATGAGCAGACACAGCCCCCACAGCATCTACCATGAGATGCGCTGCCCCAAAAGGCCTAAAACATGGGGCCAAGAGAACCCTTTTTTTCCTTTGAGCATTTTGTGAAAGTAATGGAAATTTAGGAAGCCAAGTTGAAAGACCTGCTCCCATCTTTCCTTCCCATTCTGGCGTGTCTACACGCTAAGATACAGCCTTGCCGGTAGAGCTGTTTGGTTTCCATGGAAGTGGTTGTGGGTCCTCCAGGTATCTATGATCCTTTGTCTGTTTTCTGGTTCTAGCCCTTGAGCCGTTAGTCCTCAAAAATTCCATGACTTTTCAGGCAGTGTGAGTATGGTTTGCTGTGATGAGCCAGCAAGGTCAGTCTAGATTCCTTCCCAGCTGCTGTCTTCTGAGTGGGTATCTCAAGCAAGAAGGTAGATACTTATGGTTAGTATAACAAACATTTTATTTTGTTATGCTGAGGGCCGTCACACAAAGGTCACACTCTAAATTCCTAACTACTATCTTAAGTCTGTCTCCCCAAGGCTGCTCACCTCTGTATCTTAGCTGAAGGTCAGGTCCAGTCTCTTTAACAGTAGTCTTTGATTTGAGTGTCAGGTTCCTGGGGCATAGATTGGGCCTGTGGGATCGGGGAAGAGGACTAGAGTTTACTTTGGCTCGTTCTCAGGTTGACCTCAAAGCTGTTTTGTTGTTTTGCTTGTGGTATGCCTCTGCCTCCTGAATGCTGAGATTAAAGGCATGTGCCACCACTGCCCTGCTAACATAGTTTCCTTAAGCATCTTCATTCTTACCAAGTTTCTCGACAAAACTCAGAAAGTAAACTTTCATTTGTTTATGTTTCAGGTGACTTTTTTATTCTTTTAGGATTTTGAACTAGTTCTTTCCTGGAGAAGAAAGTGCACTCCGGTATTAGTGCCTCCATAATGTCTGGTATGCAATCAAAAGCAGCCAGGCTTCAAAAGGAACACAAAGAAAAGCCGCTAGCAGACACCGAGAGGGAAATGGCCGCATCAGAGGATTTTAAGTACAATGACGTATCGTCGGTCATGATGAAGAAGTTTAATGCCTTAATGGAAATGCAAGACATGATGTTTGTAGAGATGAGAGAAAGCCTTAAAAATGATCTAAAGGAGATGTTGGTAAAACGCGCACCACCCGAGCTGAAGAGTTCGGAGCACAGGAGAGCCCAGCAAGAAGGAAAAGAATCAGCCGCAGAACGGCCAAAGCAGGGAGAAAAAGTGGAGGAGGAAAGTTCTGGAACAGATGACACTGAAAACCTCACTGTGAAAAGTGAGGAAAAGAGCAAGCTGAGTAGGAAGCAGGACAAAAAACAGCACAAGAGCCAGCGCGGCGGCGTGAAACCATCGCTAGAGAGGGCAGGAGAAGCCCTGCATCGTCTAGATGACAGGTGTAGAGACGGCAGTGGCCAGGTGGATGTTCTAGGAGAGGACCCGAAGACTGGGGAGGACAAACCAGCCAAAGAAACAAGACATCAGAATAAAGAGAACCCCATAAATGCCTCCGGAGAAGACAGCGTGCCGCAAGAGGGAGCCATCCTTAGGCTGGCTGCTGACTTCTCATCAGCCTCACTGGATATCAACAAGCGGTGGGGCAGCATCTTCCGCCTTCTGAAAGAGAAGGAGCTGGAACCTGAGCTGCAGTGCTCAGTTAGGTTAGCCTTTAAATGTGACGGCGAATCAAAGACCTTCTCAGACCTTTACAGCCTCCGGCAGTTCACCAGCACAAACCCTTTCCTGAGAGAGTTACTGAAAGATGTGCTCCCACAAAACGAAGCAAGACATGGAGGAAGAAATGGGCTTCAAGAAAGACTGGTAAGCATGTTGGATTCAGGTGTAAGCGCTGGTGTAATTTTTTAAAAAGCATAATGTGGAATTTTTAATTTTAGCGAATTACATTGGGAAACAAAAGTACGTTGCAAGTTTGAGAGATGAGCAGGAGATTAAGGTCTGTTCCATGGGGGTTCCAGAAATTGATTGGAGAACACTTACGTTAAAATGTAAGGGTCAACACTAAGAGTATCTTTTAGCTCATTAAAAAGTGGGCATGTACATTGTACATCATGTGCCTGCCTTGCCTGGTGGCCTCAGGCAGAAGAAAACATCAGATCCCCATGGTGCCACCCCATGTGGGTACTGGGAACTGAACTTGGGACCTCTGCAAGAGCTCTTAACTGTTCAGCCATCCTGAGCCCTTACGCCATCTTTTGCCCCGTCTGCTGACTACACTCAGCATCTCACTCAACCCTAACTTAGCCTGAGTGGGTTCATATTTATTGTTCACTCTGATTTCCTCCCCTAAGAAGTCTTCCGTTCATTTGTCTTTCATTACTTACTGGTTTGTAACTGTATATATATTTTTTACATCCCTACTTAGGGGTGGTATCAGCTGCAAGTATCATCTTCACAGACATGGGGCCTTGCTATGTACCCCAGACTGGCCTCATGCTTAGTTGTTCCTACCTCAGTCTCCTTGGTGCTGGAATTGTAGGAGTGTACCACCACATCTGCTCTGGTCTCTCTTTTCTCTTTTTCCTGGTACATTTTGATTTATTGTAGAGGTTCTCTGTTATATGCACACTGGTGGTACCATTTCATGAACAAAAGGTTCCCTCAGCCATAAGATTTTATGGGTAATCTGATTGGTCTGTGATTTTGGTTTGCATTTTCCCATTAATATATCTTAGTTTTAAGGTAAATTTTGTGAACGTTATGTTTTTTTTTTTTTTTTTTTCATATTGAGGTTTTTTTTTTTTAAGTTTTTTATTTTCATTTTTGTGTGCATGATGTTTTGTTTACATATATGTATGTACACCATGTATGTGCTTGGTGCCTGAAAAAGAAGGGATGTCAGGTCCCCTGGTCATGAGCTTTTGTGTGGTGCTTGGAATTGAACCCAGGTCCTGCAAGAGCAAGTGCCCTTAACCTGTGAGCTATCTCTCCAGCTCCTCCCACTGAGATTTTTAACACAGCTAGAATTTGTGTAAAGTTGGACTCAAACTTCAGTGTTCAGTTTCTCATTTGCTCACTATTTTATTTTTTATTTGTTGTTTGTTTGTTTTGATAAAGGCTCTCATTAGCCCAGAGTCTCTACTCTTCACCCTAGTACTCCATCTCTGAAGTGCTGGGATTACAGGCACAGCACTATGCCCATCTTTCGGTCCCTATCTTAAGAATATAAGGCTGGGATGTAGCTCAGTTGGGAGGGTATGTACTTAGCATGCACAAAGGCCTGGGTTCAATCCCCAATACCACATACATCAGGCACGGTTTCCCTGAATGGTGTGGGTGATGGCTGAGGTATGAAGATTGACATGGCAGCCTAGACTATTAGTGACCCTATCTCAAAAAACAAACAAACAATCAAAAAAGTTGAAATTGTGGGCTGGCAAGATGACTCAGTGGGTACTGGTGCTTGTCATACAAGCTAGATGACCTGAGTCTATACCTGGGACCCACATGGTAGAACAGAGAACTAACTCCTTACTCTATATGAATGTTGTGCCACCATCACACACACACATTCAATTAGGTTAAATTGCTTTTGTGTCATAGGGAAAGGTAAATGACCATTAAGGTGAATCTGGGTCACCAGGTCTTAATTCTATAGGGTCCTGCAAAACATGAAGAGTGATCATTAACTGTGCTTAATCAGTCACATGTGACACATTACATACTAGGGATTCAGAAGGTCAGAACAGGCAGGATCTTGTGGGAATTTGTTCTGAATACTGCAGAAGAAGCAATTTGTTAGGAACGTTATAGGAAACAATCTATTTGGGGGTTCATGTCTTTGAGAACAGGTGATTGGATGTAGGGGTCTACCACTATCCTTGTGGGAGCAATACTCACCATACACAAGGCCCTGAGTTTGGTCTTCACCACAGGAAAAGGTAATATATTTAAGCAATTTCATAGATATTCGTTCATTGTCATGGCAAGCACATTAAATTTAGAGGGTGAAATAGAAGTTTTAATTCACTGAAAAACATGACTTAAATAACTTTTTTAAACTTCTAGGGTAAAACTCTAGGAGACACAAAGCATGAAGCTAGAAGAATAGCAAGAGATAGTCTGAGCTTCCTATTCATCAATGAGGTAAAAGTTGCTAGTCCAAACACGAAGACTTCTGAAGAGGAAACATTGGAGCAGAAGGATAAAGACACTGTCAAGCTGGAGAGGCAGGGGGCCTCGAGGGCAGAGGAGGGAGAAGAAACTTCAGAGGGAGAAGCCTCAGAGATGGGGGAAGAAGAGGATTCAGAGTTGGAGGAAGAGGGCTCAGAGTTGGGGGAAGAGGAGGAGGAGGGCTCAGAGTTGGGGGAGGAGGAGGAGGGCTCAGAGTTGGGGGAGGAGGAACAGACCTCGGGGGAGGAGGAAGAGGCCTCTGTACTCCATGAAACACAAGGCTCAACTTTCCAGGGCCTGACTGTGGTACAAGAGCATGGAGTTGAGAAAATCACCAGGAGTAGTGAGGAGATTGGTTTGATTAGTTTGATAGTAGATTCTGAATCAGAAGAAGGAAATTTAAAGAATTCCCAGACCAAGAAAAAGGAGACCTTCTATGGACTTAGAGAACTTTCCTTTAGCTACTTGGTTTGGGATTCTGAGGAAAAAAAGCTGGTCAAGTGCCAGGAGGGAGGAGCAGCTGCCATGACTAGTCAGGGAACTGGGACACCCTGTCTCACCCTGTACTTGGCTTCTCCATCAGAATCCCTACAGGCAGGCAGTGATGGTCCTAAGAGCCATTCACATTCAAAGCTGAGCGTCCCGTCACAAGTCACTCCACTTTTAGTGAACATGGAGAAAGGGAGATACAAGGCTCTGCAAGCAGAAGAGCTAATGGCCAAAGAAGCAGACTTGATCCATGAAACTGAAGAAAACTTCAGAAGAAGTGTGATCAGTACTATCAGACAGATGCAAAAGGAAGTTGAAGATATTAAAAAACTTTACTTCTTTGATGTCTTAAATATGAAAAGTTCAATGGATGATCTGAATTCCTTGGCATGCATGATTGAAGCGAGGGTGAATGAGCAAGAGGATGCAGTGGAGGGACTGACCAAGGAAACAATGCAATTGGCCAAGGAGATCGTTGACAAGGAAAGGCTAAGGGAGAGAGAGGATAGATTGCGGAGCTCCAACATCCGAGTGATAGGAATCCCAGAAAAGGAGAACCGCGAGAATGGAGCAGAGGACATCATTAAGGAAATAATAGAAGAAAACTTTGCCGAGCTGGAAGACCCGAGTCTCGAGATTGTCAGTGCTCATCGAATCCCTAATGCAGTGGATGAACACAGACTCACACCCAGACACATCTTGGTGAAGTTTTGGAGTGCTGGTGATAAGCAGAAAATCCTAAAAGCTTCTAGAGCAAAAAAAGAAATAACCTACAGAGGGTCAAAAATCAGACTGACAGCTGACTTATCACCTGGCACTATAGATGCCAGAAGTCAGTGGTCTGGGATCATAAAAATTCTGCAAGAAGAAGGCTTTCAACCCAGAATCCTTTATCCTGCCAAACTGGCATTTGATTTTAAGGGTAAAACTAAAGTATTTTTTGATATTGAAGAATTTAAGAAGTTTGTTTCTGAAATACCCTTTTTGAAAGAACTGTTGAGCAATCTACTTTAGCTATCTTGGGTGCTTTCTGTCCACCAAAGTACATCCAAAAACCAAGTAAAACTGGACAGTGAACCATCACGTCTCTGTCTAGAAGAGTGGACAGCTGCCTTTTTTTCTTTTCTTTTTCTTTTTTTTTTTTTTTCAGGGAAAGGAGGAAGCAATGCACTACCTGAGCTAGTGTTGGTTGAGCTAGTGTATGTGGCTTTTTAAAACAGCTACCTACCCTGGTGAGGAAGGACCTTCCCAGAGTAAGCACACACAAGCAAAGTGCTTGAGGCCGCAGTGGGGTGGGAAATGTCAGAAAAGAATGGCCTCATCGTCTGACTGAACCAACACACTATCGTTTGTCATGATGAGAGTTTTTATATTAAAACTTCAAGTTTGACTGTCATATGTCTACGTACTATTCCTACTCATGTTTTCAGAAGTCCCCCGCCATTGCTGTATATCATCTAAGAACCTCTATAGTTCATTGCTTCAAGCCGTCCATTGGAGTCTTTACCTTAAGTGACAGTGTGTGTATAGATAGTCCTTCGTTTGAAATTAATCCATCTTCCCTGGGGAGGCACTAAAGTCAAAATGCTTTGTTTTGCAATGGTTTCTAGCAGTCCTAATTGCCCTTGAATCCTTCTGTGTAGCTAGGATTAGCCCCTTGCTTCAGCCTGCACAGTGTTGGAATTATGAACTTTGCTGGGGGGGGGGGAGCGGCTATTCTATGCAATGAAAATTGTGTCTAATTCTGGGACAGGCTAAGGCAGCTGATCAAGCCATGCCATCTTATGAGGTTGGGAAGTCTACAGAAGATAGTGCCAGGCACCCTGATTTTATTTTTTGCCACACTGGGGATGGGGTCAAGGGCTGGCCACTGCTCTCTTACTGCACTGCCACTCAGACCTGACATAAATGTCAGGTGTAAAAGGGAAGCAATCATTCTTGCTGCTGTGTTCTCTCTCTTCTAAGTTTAGTTTTTGTTTTACACGTGTGCTTCTGTACTATGTGCATGCCTGGTGCCCTGGGATGCCCTAGGACTGGGGTTGCAAAAGATGGCAAGCCACCCAGTAGGTGGCAGTACTTGAACCCAGGTCCTCTGGAGGAGCAGGGAAGAACAACCAATGCTCCATCTCTCCAGCCCTGTGTTGTCCCTTGCTATGTTGCTTTGCTTTGAGGAAGGAAGTGCCTCCTTGTCCACTTTTAGGTGCACCACCTAACAGATTACCACAAACTGGATGGTTAGTAACATGGTTAGTAACACAAACTGGCTGGAGAGGATGGCCTGTTGGTTAAGAGCACTGCATGCTATTCCAGAGGCCCTGGGTTTATTCCTACTGCCAACATGGGTGTTGGCAACCACCTGCCAACTCCAGTTCCAGGGGACCCAGTGCTTTCTTCTGATTCCTAGGAGTACCAGGCACAAGTATGGTGGTGCACAGATATAAATGTAGGCAAAGCACCCACACATGTAATCTTAAAAACAAGCTTGAGGCCTCCCCACCCTGGGGATCAGAAACCAGCCTGGGCATCATAGGGAGACTGAGGCATAAGACAGCATCAGGCCTTCGAGCTATCACATAGGTTTGAGCCTCCAGAGACACCTTCATTCTTGGATTTTGCAAAGCTGAACTGAAAAGCCTGAAGACCTGCAGGCTCCAGTGTAGGAAGTGAAGTTGAGCAGAGATGCTCTCCACGTCCTTGGTGATGGGGTGGGGGGTACAGGAGTGGCATTGATGACCACTGTTATTTTGACCATTTGAGATACACAGCAGACAACCTTCAGTCTCTTTGGGAGTGATGTCGCTCTTGATGGATCTTAAAAGATAAAAGTATAAAAATATATGCCCTCCTTTAATCCCAGCATTTGGGAGGCAGAGGCAGGTGAATCTATCTGAGTTCAAGGCCAGGCTGGTGTACAGAGCTAGTTTCAGGACAGGCTCCAAAGATACAAAGGGAAACCCTGTCTCAAATTGCACACGTGTGTGTGTGTGTGTGTGTGTGTGTGTGTGTGTGTGTGTGTGTGTGTGCCTTAAAGAAATGCTCTTTAATGAGTGAGGTTAGAAGCTGATTTGTGAGGTACACTGTACCAATTCACAGGCTCATAAGATAAAAACATCTGCCAAAGAAGAGGTCAAATGAAGTCTTACTAAACATGTCTCAAGGCACGTGTTTTTGTTATACATTTGGTTCATAATCTTGTGAAATTTCCACAGGAACGTGCAAGTTCTCAAATGAGGAAGGAAATGCTGAACTCAAATGCCTGTACTGTGACATTAGCATGGTTCATCCCTATGTTAATGTTCTTATTTAAAATCCCTTCTCTAGACAAGAAATCTTCATAGTGATTTGTTTTTAGTTGTGTCAAAATTTTTCTCCTCCAGGGGTGTTCATTTCCCAATCAGAAGAGAATCAGGGACAGGGTCCTCCTCTGCCTGCCAAGGCCTGGGCCTGACGAACACCACATGATGACCACAAAGGACACAAGCTCCCAACTGTGTCCCATGTTAGTTCTGTCCAAGAAGGACCAGGGATGGCGGCACTGAGAGCCGGGGCATATGCATCAGGCCAGCTGGCCCAAATGGAGTCAAAAGAATACTGACAGGCCAGATGCTGACAGAATACTGACAGGTTCCAGGTCACAGGGCCCAAATGAGACAAGTGATGCTCGGCCATTGGCTTTGTGCCCAGGAGCTCTCTGTGGGGACAGGGACTCTGTCCTACAAGGTTAGAGAAGGCAGAGGAATTAGGACCCCATTCTGTCCCCTAGATGGGGCTGGAAGCATTGGAGCCTTCCCCAGCCCTGGCCATGAGGAAGAGCTGGCCAACTTGTAGGAAGCAATAGCAGCACACCCCAGGCCTCCCTGATGGGGGATGGCAGACAAGTCAAGGACAGGGGAGATGACATGCTCATGCACCAGTACATGTCCCACGTGTTAAGGCATCATGGTTAGACAGTGATGAGCTGGCCAGAGAGTGACAGAGCTGGAGGGCAGCCCAGTCTTGGGCCCCATGCTGGGGCAGGGACACGGTGGGCACTTCTAGAAGTCAGTGTCCAGCCAGGACCCGAGGGAGGGAAGATAGGGAACCTGGAGGGACAGGGTCATTTGGAGGCCTGGGTTGGAACCCCTTCTCCGCCGCACAGGCAGAAGCAGCATTGTGACACTAGAGACCACAGGGGCCAGCCAACAAGGGCAGTGCAAGATGCCACTACAGGGGCCTTTGGGCAGGAGGTGGAGGAGAGGCAGGCAGAAAGGCCGCCTGCCTGAGTAGGTCAGGGGCGTTGGTCATCCCACCCAACGCCCAGCGAGGTGAACTTCCATCCCTTTTTGATGGTGACATTCCACTCCCATGCCAGGTGGTCAGCCTTGTCATCACCTGTGAAGTGGGGGCTTGATATTGTAGCTGCGCCAAGCAAGCATGCCTTTGGGGGCCCCCTCCATGGGGGCAGGGGGAGGGGCTCCTGTTCTTCATTGTTCACTTGTAGCCCGAGACACCAGAGACTTGACCACCATGCTTGTGTTCCCTCTCCTGTGTCAAAATTTCTGACTGTCAGCTAGCAAGACGTGTAAGTCATAATCCAGGGTAAGGGACTCCTTTTTCCTTCCCATTCCTTAATTTTCTCAGTCTTTCTGTCTATCCTGCCTCACTTTCTCCATTTGAGACTTTGATCTTAGAGGTTAATGGTGGCTAAATTTCACTTTCTTCTTTTTTAAAATCTAAGATGTAAATTAGTTTGTTTTCTCTTTTTGTGTGTGTGTGTGTGTGTGTGTGTGTGTGTGTGTGTGTATGCACGTGTGTCAGTGCCCTGAGACGACAGAAGAGGGCGTCAGATCCCCTTGTGTTGGTGATACAGGCAGACACTTGATGTGGGTGCTGGGAGGTGAACTTGAGTCTTCAGCAAGAACAGCAAGTACTCTTAATCCTGGAGCCATCCCTCCAACCCTGAAACTCCGTGTTCTGAATCTCCATGCCTGTCCAAGAGTCAGAGTCTGATTTAAGGGGGACCTGGGAGCTCAGAGGCTGCTGCACTAACTTGCCGATGAGATCATCCCATTTTTAACCAGGAATTGTAATATTTCAATGAAGCTCTTATGCAATTATAGCTACAAAGGAAGCTACGGCAATAAAATCCAAAGCACGAATATAGCTTTATTCATGATCTTGTTCTAGCGGAATTTAATACTTGCACACAGCATGATATGGTCCTGGCTGTTCTGAATGCTTCCTGACTCCCAGAGACCCACTCCTTGCAGGGATTTATCTCCTGAAAACAATGGGCAGTTCTAGCAGTGGGAAGCAAAGCTACAATATACCAGCTGTAATACTCTTTTTCATCCTCTCCAAATTAAAACACACAATTCAGCTGTGTCTGAGAACCTACCGGCTCTCCACCAATCTATTGTTGAAAAGGTTTTTAGTCTTAGATAATTGCCTAGAAAGGCAACGTAATGCAACACTAACAAGTTCTCAAGGCAAGAGCTTCAAGGTCACGTAGGATGAGCGGGGTTGAATGGATGGAACCCCACTCTCCTTCACCATGTAAATCATTGTCAGAGTCCCTCTTACCTCTCTGCCCCAACCTTAGAGGAGGAGGCCTCTGTGCTCAGTGCAGAGCCCAGGCACACCAGGAAGAGGCATTCTCAATCTCTTGCTTTTCCTTCTACCCAGTGATTTCTCCAGCTCAGCACAGCCTTGCCTCGGCTGCTCGTCTGCATGCCCTGCCTGGCTCTCCTTTCCCAGGGATCCATCCTCTCCAGGGTGTCAGTCCTTGAGTCCCTTTAAAAGGTTTCCTCTCTTTTTTTCCTTCTTCCTCTTCTACCTAGAGCCAGCCAGGCTTCTAGAAACCCATCCCATCAGCTTCCACACCCTGCCTGCCTAGCTCCCCCTACAGATCCAGAACATGCCAACTTTGCTGTTAAATTCCAATTCAACAACCAACTTAAAACACTTTTAAATGTTAGTGTAAATATCACTCAGTCTAAATAATTTGCATATCAGTATTTCTTTGATTTTGGGTA